CTTAAATACTTTAAAGAGGTCTTGTGCAGCAGATTTGCCTAATGCAGTGTATTGTTTGATTTCTTTGCTGTTGCTTTATTGAGTGTTGATAGTGGATCCAAACAAAATGAATTCTTTGACTACTTTCAGCCTTTTCTTCTTTTATTATTATGTTATTTACTGGTCCAATGGTGAGGATTTTTGTTTTCTTTACATTAAATGTAGGCTGTGATCTTTGATCTTCAACAGTAAGTATTTTAATTCCTCTTCACTTTCACCAAGCAAGGTTGTGTCATCTGCATTTTGCAGGTTGTTTCTGTGTCTTGCTCCAATCCTGATGCCACATCTTCTTCATATAGTCCAGCTTATTTTGTTCTTTTCAAACAGGTTTTGCATGAGCACAAATAAGTGCTCTGGAATACTCATTCTTTGCAATGTTATTCATAGCTTGTCTTGATCCACATAGTTGCAAGCCTTTATATACTCAATAAAGCACATATAAACATATTTTTGGTATTCTCAGATTCAGCCAAGATCCATTTTATATCATCAGTGATACATGTTTCAAATCCTTTTATGAATCCAGCTTAAGTTTCTGGCAGTTCCCTGTCAGTGTATTGTTGCAGCATTTAAAAATTATCTTTAGTAGAATTTTACTTGCATGTGATACTGATGATATTGTTCGATGATTGGCACATTCCATTGGGTCATCTCTCTTTGGAATGGGCAAAAATATCAATAACTTCCAGTTGGTTAGCCAGGTAGCTGATTTCCGATTTTTTTGGCATAGATGAGTGAGAGCCTCTAGTGTTGCATCAATTTGTTTAAAGATTGCAGTTTATATTCCATCAATTCCCAGAGCCTTGTTCTTGGCACATGTCTTCCTTGCACCTTAAATGTCTTCGTTCAGCACCAAAGGCTCTTGAAATGGTTGAACATTGACCATTTCTTTTTGGTATGGTGAACCTGTGTTTTCCTTCCATCTTCTTTGATGCTTCCTGCACCCTTTAATATTTTGTCCAGAGAATTCTTCAATATTGCAAATCGAAGCTTGAATTTTTTTCTCTAGTTCTTTCAGCTTGTACTCACTGAATTTATTTTTTTAGTTTATATATGGGGGAATTGCATTCAATCAGCAATAAAAATATATAAGTAACTCTTAAATTAAAAAAAAAAAAGTTCCAACTCCACCTCTCAGAGATTCTAATTTAATTTAAGTGTGTGTGTGTATAAATTATTCTTTCAAATCTATTCTTTGCATGCTTCCATGTGTGGTATCTTGAGAAGTATATACTATTACAGTCCTCTAGCCAGGATAAACCTAAATAAAATCAGGAAGCAACGATAGACAAACCAAAATGAGCAATACTCATTTTAAAAAAGGGGGAGGTGGTGGAAGACTACATATTGTTTAAAAATGTTTATGCTATAAAGAAAAAAGACTGAGGAAATGTTGGAGATTAAAGAAGACATGAAAACAAAAATTATATGATCTTAGATTAGATCCTGTACTGGAATGGGCAATGTGTTTTACAGGGACATTACATCCATTGAGAAAACTGGAAAACATATTGTAAATTAGATGAAGATATTACCAATATTGAATTTACTAAAATTAGTAACCATGCAGTAGTTATATCTATTTTTAGGAAATAAGCATTTAAAGTATTGGTAAGTAGTCCACAATATCTGAAACTTATTTAGATGGTTAAAAAAGTGTTATGCACACTATATATAAAGGAGCCTTGGTAGTGTAGTGGATTATGAACTAGGCTGCTAACTGCAAGGGTCAGTAGTTTTAATCTGCTAGTTGCTTTGCGGGAGAACGATGAAGCTTTCTGTTCCCATAAAGATTTACAGCCTTGGAAACCCTATGTAGTCAGAATTGACTCCATGGCACACTACCACTACCATATTATATATAAATAGAACAAATGGGGCAAATTTTTTAACATAGGTAAACCTGAGTCCAAGACATAGGTATTATTTATACTATTCTTGAAATTTTTCTGTAAGTTTGGAAATGTTTAAGTAAAAGCATAAAAAAATTTACTATCCATGAACTCTAGAGCCATACTTACAGATACCTTTCTATAATGTTTGACATAATTTCTTTGTGAATTAGGCTTTTGTGCTTTTAAACAAATGATTATATTTTAAAGGGAGAAATTAAAAATTGAGTAATCAATTTTTAAATTTTGCTTTGGGAATTTTTATGTTAACCCACTTTTTTGTTATTTGTTTAGGTAATGTGAGTGGCATGAAAAGGAAAGAATGGGAAAACAAATCAGTTGGAGTTGAAGTAGAGAGAAAAACTCAGCACCTTAGTCTGCAAGTACCATTAAGATCTCATAGCTCATCTTCTTCGGAAGAGAACAGTAGTTCTAGTGCTGCACAGCCTTTATTGGCAGGTGAAAAGGAAAGTCCTTCCTCTGTTGCCGATGACCATTTGGTTCACAAAGACTACTTACATGGTATAAAAAGAGACAATGGCCAAGTAAGGTTAGTATTTAATAAGAGTAAAAAAACTGATGATAATATAATTATAGTTATTCAAAGTTGTAGCAAGAAATACTTCTTTCTCCTCTGCTCTCCCACTTTAGAAATATTTATTTTTTTTCATCTACTCCCATATTTTTAAATGCCAATTTGCTTTTGTTTTTCTGGTGATAAAGGTAATACATATGTTCTCATTTCATGTTTAGGAAAATACAAAAAAGTACACATAAGATACTTTTTGGATGTTTCGGTCATTCCACCATTCATAGTAATTGATTGTTAACACTCACATACTATACTTCTATTCCAATGGATACTTTTTGGTCCTCCTCTTTACCACTTAATAGTTAGCTACTCTTCACCTTGAAACACACTTTCCTCTTAGTTTGATACCACATTTTCAATTTTTCTTCCACCTCCTTAGCTATTCCTTCGTACTGTCCTCTATTTTTTCTCCCTTTCATATTTTCATTCTTCAACCCAGCAATTTTTTAAATGTTGTTATCCCTCAAGACTCTGTTGTACCCTATTCTCCATGCACTCTGAGGTATTTTCTTAGGTAGCCTCAATGATTGTTTGGCTTCAATTATTATCTGTAGCCAACATCTTTAAAATATAATATTCTTTTTTTTTTT